TGGGCTGAATTGCACAAAACGCATGATCGCACCGGCTAGTCTGGTGCGCGTTGCTATTTATTATTGTAAGTGCTCTACCTCTTTGAACGCCCCTCATTTGAGCTACAGTTGTGTATTTAACCGATGCTTACAGCCATTTGAACTTCTTATCCTCATTCTTTTACTGAGCAGGCCGTTTGCTGATCAGCTCTCAGTACTTTTCTGTTCGCTGGTAAGGCCCAGAGTTTCTTCGTTTACACTGTTGCCGAGTTATTGTTCTGCGGCGCGGTACCGTTCGGTCGGTGTTTAGCACTCACACATTGCTTGAAATGACACAGTGAGCTAATTTGCTGGAATAGAGCTAGGAATTGTTCAAGCAAGTATGCGTTATCCAGAATTTTATTGCCCATAATATTTTTAGATGGGCAGGTGTAGTGTTGGAAACTCCAAGTGTCTTTCTGACAGATGCGTTCAATGAAGGTATACAAGCACAGGAAGAAGAAATAAAGACTGCGTGCGTAAACACGATTGGAAAAACTCTAGATGAGGATCTGTCCGGCTCAAACACGCTCAAAATGGTTCTCGAGTTCAAAACAGTTAGTGCTTTTTTTGTGTATCCTTATGCACAGTTGTTTTTCCTGTGCTACGTCTTTTAACTATTCACTGGGAAAAGCTGTGATCTGAAAATCTCTTCCTGCAAGGCCAGGCAGTTCCGAAGTATTCCAGTCACTGCTCCATGGCTTTCATTTGACTACTGCCAATCATTTTGGCATGCTTTACGCAGTTGTAGTGTAGTGCTGTCTTTCTCATTTGCTGGGCATCGCAGCATCAGCCAATTAGGGTGATACATCGCCTAATCGCTGAGACAAACGCTAACAAAAATCTACAAAATCTTCAGATGTTGACCAAGTACTGTGCACGGCCAGGTGATGACAATTCACTTGCGGAGTGCATTATCCAGTTTGGTGAGCTTCTTTTGCTGCATACAGCCGGCGAATATTCCAAGCTCGCGACTTCATTTTTGGCGCATTGCTCCAACATTTCTATGGTTAGTTGTCGCAGATATCACCAACTTTATATGATCGACAAAACTGAAATAACGGAAACCCCGTTTCGGTTGCACAGACTCTCTTCGCTTCCACAGTTCAACGCAATCCCATCTGTGCCAGCTCGTTTAAGATTAAGCTGTCGAGTGCTTTTTTTCGAACTTATACGTATCAGGGTGTCACAACCTTTCTCAAGAGCAACTTGCAAGCGACGAAATCAGCGACAACCCTGTCAGCAGATTTTTTTATTCTAACTGCCACTTACTATCACTCGAGCTATTTCTGCACACCTCTTCCTCTCACAGAAAGTTAATAGGAAGGTTTCGTGATTTTTTTGAATTTTGGCAAAAATTGTTCTCCCTTTATTTCTCACCTAAGTCGTATAAAAAGCATTCTTTCGTCCCCAATGGTGCCCACGTACTGTGGTGTTTGGACACATGAAACAACTCTGTTTGAAAATTAAAACCACATCGGCGGAATGAATTTTAAATAGCACACTAAGAAGCCCGCCCGCTCTATGAATACATTTAATTCGAAGAACGATCAGTGTGATCATTGAGCTGCGGCATCGAACATCCTTCACCACTGGGAGGATTGATATGCCCTTCATTCTGTTTCTTACTGTTTTCCGTGATGTTCTATCGATTTCTTCGAGAAAATGATTGATTATTTCATCATTTAGCACTAACCTGCAATTATAGCTGAATATAAATAAATGAATGCCTTGCGTGGTGGCATCGTCTGAACTCCAACCCGCTTTGCGATTAACGTCACGTAACAAGGGGCGTGAAGGAGAGGCGAAGAAATGAATTTGTTTGCATCCAAAAACCAGGCAAAATGCATTTTTTTGCAGGATTCCATGACAACGTCTGGTTGTTTGGAGCAACTAACAAACTGGGTTTCGCAACTTTCCCAGGAAAGCGATTACCTGGTGCATACGACAAAGGAAACTTTTGATAGTCTTGCGATTATCTATCTGGTGCCTGCGTTCAGGGCAAGTAATGCACCTTATTAATTTTTCTTGAAACGAAATTTGTGTCGGAGAAATTCACATCTGTGGATTTACGATACCACTTTTTGTTAATAATTGGCTGGATGCAGCATCGTCAGAACGTGGGCCGTGGTACTTCCACTTCGCCAGCGGAATCTCTTTGATTTTTGTAAATACCCTGGTCATTTTTCTTGACTCTTCTGATGGAAACGATGTCGACAGTGCACGTAAATCAGTTGACAGTTGTTCTGTTTGCTTCATCTGAATTTCGCGTCACATTTATAGACGATGTATGAAAATGTGGTGTCAGTTTTGGTGCGATTTCACAAGGTGCATATGGAAAGGAGTAATGTGAAAGAGGAGGATGTGCTGCGATTGGTTAGCATCTCAGGTTATTCATTTTTTTCATGAATTTGACAACTTGCATTATAAGTCACTGTTGAGTGACAGAAATTGCTGGCTTCTGTGATATTTGTGTTGCTGCTATTGTGAGACTGTGCTTTAGTGCGGTTTTTTGAACTGAACGAATCTTCGCAAATGCTTCGCATCGTCTGCAGTCCATCTCTTAGCAACGCTTCGCGCCTTCAGAAGAGAGTGTCTGCCTGCGTATCTGTTGTGCCTTCAACCAATAAGAAGATGTATTTTGGGAAGAGTTTTCATTAACTGAATTCACTAGTGAGTTGAATTCCCTCCTGTCCTCCAGCTGGCTATTTTTACATCAAAGTCTTTTTTGACGTAATAATTATAAGCCCTGTTTCAGGACAGCTGATGGCATGGATTGATAATGATAAGCAGCGATTGAAGGATTTGTTGGAGTATTTTAGAATGGGTGGGAGGGATCCTGTCATCAACAAACTGTCACACAAGCTATCGCCTGAAATTTCGGCTTTTCGAGAGAAATTGTCCGGTTGGTTCTAGTCTTTACTAACCGGAAATTACCTACTTTGTT